TGTGGGTGTGGGTGGGTGTGGGTGTGGGTGTGGGTGTGGATTTGGCTATGGGTATGTGGGAGTGTTTCTAATTACAGCCACACCCACATCTACACCCACACCTACACCCACACCCACACCCACACCCACACCCACACCCACACCCACACCCACACCCACACCCACACCCACACCCACACCCACACCCACACCCACACCCACACCCACACCCACACACCCACACCCACACACCCACACCCTCCAATAGAAAGAATTTCACATTTAGAATTACTGCCAATTAGATTCATGTGTGAAAACTTCTCTTCATACTTAAGTGGAACATCGAAAAAGGTGACGATAGCCATACCCTTCTTGTCTTTCGCATATGTACCAATCTGCCTCCAGTAAAACATATTTTTACTAGATAAACATGGAAGCTGATGTTTATTGTCCATGTCTGGGTTTGAATCAGCATTACGTGTAGTATCTATTTGGTAGGTAAGCAACGTTTTTTCACTGTCTCATAGTGAACATAGAAGTACAACATTTTCTCACTATTTGCCGAGTATGATGGCGCAAACGTAGACCCAATGTATCCGTATGGGAGAAAATGAGCGTAAACAAATTGAAAATCTTATCTTTTGTTTCAATATCATCAACTTTATATTCATTTTTACTGAGAGCGGGTGTGGGTATTGGGTGTAGGTGTTGGTGTGGGTATTGGGTGTAGGTGTTGGTGTGGGTATTGGGTGTAGGTGTTGGTGTGGGTATTGGGTGTAGGTGTTGGTGTGAGTGTGCGTGTGAGTCTTCTCTCTAGATACACCCACACTCACACCCTACTAGACACCATTACAACGTTGACATTGAGCGAACGACGAGATATACAAAATAAACCATTATTGCAAGGAATTTTTAAGGTCAAAAAGACCACGAAATCATTTTTTGACATTGAGCATATTGTTAAACAGCTGTGTCTCTAAGAGCAGTACAATCAGATCTTTGAGATTTTATCATATGATTTTGATGAAGAAGTCAAGCGCGATCGCTCGACTCACTGTGAAAAATGATCCACTCGAATAGACAATGTGTCTTCCTCTGATGTTAATTTTGTCCATTTGCATGAACAGAGTCTTGATTGGAGACTTCCTTCTTTTTGATCAAGAAAGATCCTGTGGCAGGTAAGTATGCTCTTTCAATCACATTACTAACCATCTTATACTTTAACAAACGGCAATAATTGTACGGTAATGGTCTTTTGGTTGCTGATGACTCATTATTCTATTTCTCTTTTTCATAATCACTCTCGTTTCTCTGTTCTCTGAATATGATGAAATCCTCTTGAGTCATGACTGATACAGACAGGACGATAAATGATAACTGTGAAACTTTTGTTCTTTGTGAAAGCATAAAGCAATAAGCGAGTCGGTATGATAGCTATACTTACCTCCACAGGATCGTCGTCGAACAAGAAGAGAGTAGATTTTGGTCAAAGTTTTGTCATTGCATATTGATAAAGCTGGAATCGCCAGTAAGAGTGGATCATTTTTCACCGGGAGTCTAGCGTTTGCACATGTTTCTTCAATACATTTAGAATGGAAAAATCGATTTATTAGTTGTTTTATCTCTTAGTGTGGGCTTTTCTAATAACTTTTCCTTTAGAAGATGAACCATAGGAATTCAATTGATGTGAAAGAAAAAGGATCATTCCTTTTCAATGCCGATGTTTCATCATGAAGGCTTTTCAATCATCAATAAATTTCATTTGATACAAGAAGAAATGAAAGGAAAGGAAACCTGATGAATGCAATGTTTCATCGGTCGAAAGACAGAAAGAAAGGTACTTTGTTCATCCTATTTTTTTCAGTAATTTAGGTATCGAGTGTTTGCTGGTGAGTATTAGTGAAATTAAGGTTCATAATCATCATCATTCACATACTCTCTAAAAATTTCAAAAAATGACACCATATCCAATCGGTTTAACATTTTCAAGAATCTGTTAGTCAAGTAAATCAAATAGAACAATAACAAAATTTTTTCATAATAAGTTCGATGAGAAACATCTTGGATTTCAATTATTTTTGAAATCAAAATTAATTCTTCAACAATCAATATATGTTATTAGAACTCTTTTTTTTCGGAGTCAGTTTTGCCATTTGTCGATTACTTTTCTTATGAATCAATAGCATCCGCCATCGTTCAACGTACATTGTCGTAATAATTTGACCACTGACTTTCTTCGAATAATGCACATTTTTTTTCTGTGGTTCATCACTGTATGTGAAACAAATAAATTACAAAAGTAATATATTCTCTCATTGTTTTAATGGAGGCATGCCTGTTTCAGAGATCGACATTAGGAGTAGTTCGTTTTTTTTGTAACTAAAAATGAGACGATCTATTGTTTCTGAGATGTACGATGACAAACTTTCGATGAATAACTTTTCTATTTGTTTCCTATTATTGACCTGATACCATCGTAGATAATCAATTTGTTTAAATATATTGATCGAGAAGAATAAGATGACTAGTTTTTGTCTCGAGAATAGCAGCATGATCTAGTGTAGTTATGAGTGTGGGTAGAAATACTTGAGTTATAAAATTAATTCAAACACCTTTTATATGAACAAATGGATGAATACTTACAAAATTTAATTAGTAAGTTTTACACATGTACAAGACACGAGTATTTCAAGTGAGTCAGAGTTTTATTTAATTTCTAGTTTTTTTTTTTGATAAAGTTTATAAATATCATCATTTTTGATCTTTATAATCTATTGAAGCTCAAATGTCGAGACTCATCTGTGTAAAGCTCAACTGTCGATGTACCAATATTTATAATACTTCTATTATTTTAATCAGATATTTCATTGATGGATCGTTTTTGATTGTTACTTGATCAATAACATCTATTGATTAATAGAACAAAACAAAAAAAAAGATAAGAACCAGCTTTGTAATATAATTTGAGTTTCGGTCGATGACAAGAAAATAAAATGTACTTAGTGCTCTATAAATCTTCTTTTTTTTGCACTTGATTATATTCAAAGAAAATAGAAGAGTTATTTTCTTCGGAAAATATTCGTTACATTCATTGTCTTTTTCGACGAGTATAAAAATAACATTTGTCAAAGATCACAAGTTTGATTATTAATCATCTTACCAGATTCAAGTTTTCTTTTTTTTTATTATTTTACATAGAATATTACATATTTAAGTGTTTATCCAGTAACGATGTTCTATAAAAAAAAAAAAAATAAAGATGTTGAACTTCTAATAGAAAGTTTATTGAGGCGATGAATATATTAACATGACAGGTAATTACTTTCTTGTAGAATAGAAGTCATATCAAGTATAAAAGAATTGTTAGTAAGATTTAAATTAGTCGTCAAATCAAGTTTGTTTCCGTTTGTTAAAAAAAAAGGATATGCGTCGAAGACAATAACGATTATTTTCTAACCATTTGTTAATAAGAATATTTTTTTTTTTAGAACAAAAAACGAAGAAAATATGACATAGAAATATATTCAAGGACAACTGTTCTCTTTCTATACAATATATTGTTAACAATGACAATAATAAATACATCAAATTCATCATCAATCATTATTTTAATTTTAATTGGAATTTGTCTTAGTCTTATTGCATTAATAACTGCACTTGGAAATATAATTGTACTTTTAGCTTTTTATTGTGACAAAAACTTGCGAACAATCAATGGTAATTATTTATTTTGAGTGTGATTGTAGATAGGAATACAGAGATGATTAATACTCACACCCTACACCCCCCTCGTACTTATACTCAAAAATAAATTATTTTTATTTTTTAAAAGATTATTTTATATTAAATATGGCAATAGCGGATTTTCTTGTTGGCTCTTTCTGTATTCCATTTTATATTCCATTCAGGTTAACTTTTGTTTCGTTTTTTGTATGTTAAATATATATTCTTATTATATTTAGTATAACACAATTATGGCCATTTGGAAGTCTTTTTTGTAAAATATGGGTAAAGCTTTTCATTTGATTAATTAATTTATTAATAAATAATTAATGTACAAATAGGTTACAATTGATGATGTTGCAACAATGACTAGTGTTCTTAATATAGTAGCAATTAGTATTAATCGTTATTGGTCAATAGCTTATCCTATATCATATCGAAAATATGTGAAACAACATTTTGTTTATTTAGTAATGGGAGCTATATGGTGTTTTTCTTTTAGTAAGATTTTATTATTAGAAGAATATTAATAAAAGAGTTCATTGCTTTTTTTTTTAGTTAATTTTGCTCCGGGTATTTGGTTATTAAGTTTATTTAATAATAATAATAATATAACACGTAGTGATTGTTCAGGTGATTATAATCGTTCATTTGTATATATGTTAATAGCACAATTCAATTATTTTATTTGGCCATTTATTGTTTTATGTGTTCTTAATATGTTAATAATGTTAAATTTATGGAAACGAAGTCGAAAAATGAATCGTCTTATGTCATTTAATCAATATGCAAAACATCGAGAACGAAATATTGGTTCATCATCATTAGTAACAAGTAAAGATATAGAAGATGATCAACATTTACCATCACTTATTTCTTCGTATTCAATAATTATTCAAAAACAATCTTCAACTATGTATGTTTATTATTTCGTTTCTTTTGTTTTTTTTTGATTTTAGTACAAATTCATCTGTAAATCGTTGTTATTATAGAAATAAAAAAGATTCAAAAGAAACTTGTAAATCATTATCAATGTCATATTTATCAAGAAAATGTGCAAATGTTAATTTTTCTCCTTCATATGATTATCGTAGTGATTCATTAATTGACTATCGAATTGAAAGTGAAACTAAAATATCAAGATCGATAATAAATGAATTACGTTCACAAAATCATTTAAATAATAAAAAATATAAAAGATATCGTCAATGTGATTCAAGAATTATTCGCGATCGTAAAGCAGCACGTTCTTTATTTATTCTTGTTATTGTTTTTCTTATATTTTTATTTCCATATGTTATTTGTGCAATAGCTATAACAGCTGATGTAAATATATCTGGAATTATATTTGAAATATCATTTTGGCTTTTATGGTTAAATTCAACATGTAATCCATTTCTTTATCCATTTATACAAATAAAATATCGACGTGCTTATTTGAAATTATATCAATCTTGCTTAAAATATTTTACATTTTCACGATCAAATCATTCTTTTTAATCGTTTATGTTCGAGTCAATTCTATTTGATAGGTTTTTGTTTTACTAAATAAATGAATGAATAATAAACAATAGAGATGAGTTTATCTATATTGACTATTGAAAATGATATTTGAACGTAACAAGAAAAAAAAAAAGAAAAGCTAAATATTAATATAAAAAAAAGCACTTAAGGGTATCCAAAAATAGTAGCGGTCGCATCTCAATTTTGTATAGAAGTCTTGAAGAAATTTTCTTTTCTTATGAGGTGATAAAGAAAACAAAGCTCTATTTTTCTATGCTATTTCATCCCTATTCAACTGGTATCATATAATAATAAAATTTCGATAAGAACTGTTTTTCCGTAAAACTTCACTGACAAGTGAAGTAGATTAAATATTTCAATCATTTAGTACGTTGTATTAAAAACAATAAAATATACCACAAGATACAGCGTGAAAAGCTCTACAATTTATAAAGAATACTTTATTTTATATATGAAATAAGACAAAAAAGCAATTTCTCTTCGTCTGATTTTTTCGGGGCAGCGAAAATTAGTCGCACAGAATTTTTTTTGTTGCCAAGAAGTACACAATTAAAATAAGCTTTATTTTATAGCTTGTAGAACTTTTCGCGGTGCATTCTATGGTATATTTTTTTTTTAATACAACATATTAAATGATTGAAACATTTAATCTGCTTCACTTGTTAGTGAAGTTTCACAGAAAAACAATTCTTATCGAAATTTTATTATTATGATACCAGTTGAATAGGGATGAAATAGCATAGAAAAATAGAGCTTTGTTTTCTCTATCACATTATAAGAAAAGAAAATTTCCTCAAGCCTTCTATACGAAATTGAGATATGGCTACCACTATTTTTGGGTACTCCTAAGTAAATTGTTAAATCTTTTCCTTCAAGACACATCATGTCATTTGTTTAGTGTTAGATGTTACGCAATAAGATACTGAAATTGCGATGAATGTTTCAAATCTGTTGCTTTACGATTAGCTAAATTTTATTTCAATATAATAAGTTTTTACTTGTTAATAAATCTTAATTATTTTATAATTTTTATTTTTATTGAAAACAGGTCAACTAACTTATTCGAATAATGATATATGAATATTATTTATTTTGTTTAAAAGAAAAAAAACTATAAATTTTAAATATTAGATGTTTGTTGTGTTTGATGAAACATAATATTATTAGTTACAAGATCAATTTCTCTCAAAGGTATAAAACGTGTCTTTTTAACAAATTTATAAACAAAAAAAATAATTAAAAAAACAGGTAATGTTATATAAGCTGCTAAAAAATTACTAAAACTAAATGGATGTGTTGTAAATGCTGAATAACCTTGTCCAAAAATAAATATACATGTTGATAATAATGCTATTATTGGTCCAACTGGAAAAAATAATGATTTATAAACAAGATCATTTAATGAATAACCTTGTAAAATAAATGCACGACGAAATCTCCAATGAGCTAATGATATTCCAAACCAAGCTATAAAACCCATTATACCTACTATATTAACTAACCATCGATAAATTATTTTATTACCAATAAATGATAAACCAAATAATATTGTTGATATTAATACTGTACATAGAAGACACCATATTGGAATACCACGTCGACTTACATATGTAAATTGTTTTGGAGCTTTACCTTCATTAGCTAAAGCATATAACATACGTGTACATGTATAAAGACATGAATTTCCAGCTGATAATACTGCTGTTAATATAACTGCATTCATAATATGTACAGCTGGTTTAAGACCTGATTTAATAAAAACAAGTGTAAATGGTGATACGGCTGCATTTTTAATATCATTATGTCCTAAACTAGGATCATTATATGGAATAACAAGACCTATTATTACAATTGATCCAACAAAAAATAGAATGATACGCCAAAGAGTTCCAATCATTGCACGTGGAACATCACGACGAGGATTTTCACTTTCACCTGCTGTTATACTAATAGATTCTGTACCCTAAAAAATTTATTTAAATTTAAAATTATAATTAAAATTAAAATTAAACTTACTCCAAATGCAAAAGCCGAAGCAATTGAACTAGCAATAATTCCACTTATACCTCGATAAAAAGGTGCACCATCAATTTTCCAATTATGAAATCCAATTTTAACATGTCCAAGTACACCTATATCAACTAATAAACCAACTATTATAAATATAATAACAGTCAAAACTTTAATCATAGCAAACCAATATTCAGCTTCTCCATAACCTTTTACTGTAAATGCATTTAATATAACCATTATTATCATTCCTAATAGAGACCAAATAATAGTTGGAAAATGTGGTAACCAAAATTCTATAATAATTCCGGCAGCTATTAATTCACCAGCAAGTACTGTTACACCAGCAAGATAATAATTATAACCTAATGTAAAACCTAATGCTTCATCGACAAAACGACTTGCATATGTACTAAATGAACCACTTGTTGGAAATTGTGTTGAAAGTTCAGCTATTTTAATTTTGAAATTATTTAAAATTGATCAAATAAAATCAATATATTAAGAAGACATGTCTCGTCAATTTATTGTCTATACTTAGAATTGAATAGAGAGAATTAAAATTAAACAATACGAATGATTATTTTCTTTTATTTTGACTGAAATTTAGTTAAATAAAAACAAAAGATTGATGAGAAAGATAAAAACAATGTCTCTACATAAAACTTCTCTTCATGAGATTTTCAGATATACAGTGAGCAACAGCGTGAATTTTTGATAAAAAAAATAAAATGAAAGTGATATCTTTTGTAATTTGTATAATGTACAATATACTTTGGATCAGAGATGTGCGATCCACGGGGTTCACCCCGCGGGCCCCGCGGGGCCACGTGGCGACGGGCGGGCGGGGAAGAAAAATTTAATTAAACGCGGGATTAACAGGGCGCGGGTATTTTCCGGCACACGGGCGGGCGGGGCGGGTAATAATTTTTTTAAATGACACGGGTCTCGGGCGGAGCGGGTATGAAATACACGGGTTCGGGCGGGTAAACATTTTTTTTCGGGTGTGATGAAAGATCGTCAAAACTTATCACGGGATGTCCTTAGTATAGGTATGTAGTACAAAGTACATATTGATTGGTTCATTACTTTCATCCTATTATGTACAGGATTGTCTACCATTTGTTTGTTTCTTTCTTTATCGTCTGTCATACGCACCTTCTACTATCAATTTATATTAAGTGAATAACTGGACTAAAACTTATTTTATATTTAGAATTATCGTTTGAATTTTTTTGTGAATTACTACTTAGGTCTGACCAAAAGTTCTGACAACATTATATAAAAATATAAAGATAAGGAGGCATCTTTAATTTTATTTTATCAAATTTTGAGGACAGTTGCCATGATTATTTATACCAAGTTTGATCCTTTCCAACGATTAGTTAAAAGTTTTTTGAAGTTTTTTCGAAAAAATTTTAGGCATCATGGATACCGCATGAGCTAATCAGATTTCATTTATTGTGAAAAGTTAGCAAAATCTTGTTCGATCATATCAGTTGCATTCTAGTACTACTAGTGATAAGATATAGATTTATTTTAGATAGGTTAGTCATAAGTTATCCGATGCTGGCTGGCTTATTGAAGATGAATCATCAAAGACTATTGTTCATGAATAAAGATTTTAGAAAATGCTTTGTTTGGTATATTTTTTAAATCAAATACTCCTGAATGTAGATAAAGGCAAGACTGTAAGTCACAAGTATTAGGCTGAACGCTCTCCAAAACATTTTATTAATCAAATATGGAAACAAACAGAGACATCAGGTTCATAATGTACAAAATTGCTTGATGGTCAGCGTTGACTTCATACTCATCTAATGTTATTAATTGCATGACAGAAGAAGGCATCAATATGATATCATATCTATCATATTCGCCAGGCCTGATACTATGTAACTTTTCGCTAACTAATTCTATTAAATGTAGTTTAACTGATTAAATAAATGAAACATGATAAGCTCGTGCGATATCTAAAAATTTTTTCGAAAAAAACTTTTAACAAATTGTTGGAAAGGCTCGAACCTGGTATAAATAATCATGGCAACTGTCCTCAATATTTGATAAAATTAAATTAAAGCTGCCTACTTACCTTTATATTTTTATATAATGTTGCCAGAACTTTTGGTCAGACCTAAGTATCATCGAATTACATGATTTATCTCCTGATGAATTACTTAATAGGACAGCTTCGTCGAATACTGATCGTTCATCTACAATTATTTCTTCATCTCTCAGTCATTGCTCATCGAGTAATATTAAATGTAATTCGTCAAATATAAAAATGTTTTTAAAAGAACAACCACAAAAATACGTGCTTGTCGACAATCACCAAGTGAATCACTCAAAACCATCTCATATAGACTTGAGTTTTGTTTTTGTAAAAAATGATTTTTCATAAAAGGAATGCATCATTAAAAATAAAGTATCTGGTAAATAAAAAATTTCTTCGGGTTACACGGGGACGGGTCGGGGCCCGTCACAAAAATGGCGGGTCGGGCGGGCTGGTCCAAGAAGCTGCCTGTGCGGGGTACGGGCGGAGCGGGTATAGATTTGCCGGGGCACAGGCGGGGCGGGGATTCTCAAAAAGTATAACCACGGGGTTCGGACGGGACGGGTTTGTGAATTTTACGGGGCGGGCCCCGCGGGGGATGGAAAATCAATGCCCCGCACATCTCTGCTTTGGATATTGACCGACTTTTTGATTTAAAAAAATTATTTTAGCTTCTGAAGGATTTGGAAAATTTCTAGATACAAAAATGGTTAAGTTTCTATCATCTTAGAGAAAAGTATTCTTTTTCAAAGACAGTAAAAAGATCTACAAAATAAATCGTAGAGCTCTTGCTCCATCGATCTATATGTTTCTCTGTTGGAAAAAGTATCTATACTTTCTCCATGAAGAGTTTTCTAATATACATAGAATGACCTTGAACAAGTCACTAACGGCTGTTTGTCTTGGATCAACC